TAAAGGTATGAACCTGAACTATTTGCATATTACACAGTTTTGAAAGATATTAAGTTTAAGATGGTCAAAACAGTCCGTGAATGGAACTAAACTTTCCTGTTGAAAGCTGATGTTTAAGTTTAGTTAAGTTTTTGGTATTTTAACTTGTATTCTCCCCCTAAAACTTGAAGAAAACATGAAAATGTGGGGGTATGAACTCACCTTGAGTGATCTCTTAGGATGGATGATGAAGAGAAGAAGTTTCCAAGTTAAGAACACTTGGGAGTTGCTTGAAGATTTGAAGATTCTATGAACAAATATGATGATATTTGTGTAAGGATTCCATGATTTGGGTGAAAGAGTGTAAGATAATCAAGTGAAAGATGAAATTACTTACCCAAAAGTTAAGGAGAATGCTCAAGAACAACCTTGAATTTCGAGTTTAGAGAGAGTGAGTGAGAGAGAGAAATGGGTTTGCTCTTTGGTGAAGGAGTGAATAATGTGGGAGTAGAGATGAAGATCTTTAGCCCTTGAATCAAGATCCTTTGCTGGAGAAAGACAGTGAAATGACAAATAGTTGACTAGGTAGGGAGGAATAGTGACTAAGGATGGTCATAAAGTGGTATGGGAGGTAGCTTGTGTCATAGACTTATAGAAAAGTCAACACTCATCTCACAATCTAACCCACTAGATATTATTCTTAGACAAAGATTTCCCTTAGTATATGTTTAAATTATGAATATATAGGGTCTCTTATGCCAAAATACGAGTTTTGGTGAAAATCCCGCGTTAAAATCACGAAAAACGAGCTTAAAACGAAGTCGGGGTCGAAAACCGGGAAATAGGGGCGAACATCCGAAATCGGGGCCGAAGGTTCGGTCCCAGCAACTAGAACCGAGGGTAGGTTCGGGTGTTTGATGAGAACCGAGAGGAAGGTTCGGTCCGAGCAGCATCGCAGGCGAACACGGAAGAGAGACCGAAAGCGAGGGGAGCGAAGGCCAAGGCGAAGGGGCTTTCGGGTTCGGTCTCGGATCAGCTTCGGCTCGCCAGGGTTTCGGTTCTTCAGCAGTTCGGTCCAAGCAGGTTCGGTTCTCACTAGGAGCTTCGGTCTATGCGAGGTGTTTCGGTCCAGGAGGCTTCTTAGGGTTTCGCTTCTTAGGGTTTCGCCTCTAAAAGGGTTTCGCTTCTATAGAGCTGTTTTTCGCATAAACTTCTCGTTTTGAGCGGTTTTTGACTAAGTTAAGGGTCGGGATGCCCCAAATGATTATAAAAGTTTTGAGAGAGATTTGAGAGAGACTTCGTTTGTGACCTTTTTGGATGTTTAGCTTCGCAACGCAAGGTTTGTAAACCCCGTTAAGCCTTGTTATGAATGTTATACGCCCCCGAGGGGTACGGAATAATGTTTTACCAAGTAGTTTCATCACTTACCCTGATTAGGGTTTAAGAATTTTGAACATATGAATTTTCCAAGTGATAACTTCTTATTAAAATAACGAGTTGTACAGTAGTAACATAATGTAAACCCTAATATACAAGGGTTAGCTGAGTTGACCGGTTTGACTTGTTGACTTTATTTGACTTTGACTTGACTAGAAATTGACAGTTGTCACAGAATCAACTATCATTTTCGTTACAGTGGTTATGCTGCTAAATAACACTTATATATTAAACATGCAGTTAACCTATGAAATAGGTGTTTGTATACATTTTTATAAAAAAAATACATGTTTGTATAATTTTTTTTATAAAAATGTGTTTGTATATAGATGTATTTATTATATATAAAATACGTGTTTGTGTTTCATTTTTTTTATAAAAAAAGTTTTATATTTATTTATGTACTTAATAAATACATATTTGTATAATTAAGTATTTTGCATACAAAAGTGTTTAAAAAATTATATAGAAAAAATAAGGTTTTTTTATATTAAAATATGTTTTTTTTGTATAAATATGATTTTATAGAGCAAAAAACAATTTCAAAGCAAAATTTTGAAAAAAAAAACTAAATTTATGATGAATTCGTAACAACATTTTGAAATCTGAGCCAAAAGTGTAAAATTTGGACCAAAATTGTAATAAAATTTAGAATTTAAATCAAAAATATAACTTTTTAAAGTTGGATGACCTATTTACCAGGTAAAAATGTCAAAATGAATACACTTTTCGGTTTTTATGAGTTAATTGACTAAAAAAATAAGGACTAAATCAATTATTATGCCTAAACATAAGTATGTTTCAGTAGCTTTCTCTTATTTTAATAACAAAGAAAAAAAAATGTAATCACTAAAACATATAGCAAAGATCTACTTTCTCTTATTTTAATAACAAAGAAAAAAAAATGTAATCACTAAAACATATAGCAAAGATTTTGGAGGGGGATCTAAATATAGACCCTTTTTAGGATGGATATTCCAAATCCTCTTATCCATTTGTCACATCTGCTATACATCAGTTCTTTTCTTTCCTTTCTCGATCCACTACACAAAAAAACTCATCTTTCCAACCCACTAAATTGTGTACAAGTTTTTCTCTGCTTTACTTGTTTTATGTCGAATCAGCTATCATTTTCGTTACGGTGGTTATGCTGCTACATAACACTTATATATTAAAAATGCAGTTAACCTATGAAATAGGTGTTTGTATACATTTTTATAAAAAAATACATGTTTGTATAATTTTTTTTTATAAAAATGTGTTTGTATATAGATGCATTTATTATAAAATACGTGTTTGTGTTTCATTTTTTTTATAAAAAAAGTTTTATATTTATTTATGTACTTAAAAAATACATATTTTTATAATTAAGTATTTTGCATACAAAAATGTTTAAAAAATTATATAGAAAAAATAAGGTTTTTTTATATTAGAATATGTTTTTTTTATAAATATGATTTTATAGAGCAAAATACATATTCAAAACAAAATTTTTGAAAAAAAAAATAAATTTATGATGAATTCGTAACCACATTTTGAAATCTGAGCCAAAAGTGTAAAAATTGGAGCAAAACTGTAATAAAATTTAGAATCTAAATCAAAAATATAACTCTTTAAAGTTGGATGACCTATTTACCAGGTAAAAATGTCAAAATGAATACAATTTTCGGTTTTTAGGACTTAATTGACTAAAAAAAATAAAAACTAAATCAATTATTATGCCTAAACATAAGTATGTTTCAGTAGCTTTCTCTTATTTAAGTAAAATAAAAAAATGTAATCACTAAAACATATAGCAAAGATTTTGGAGGGGATCTAAATATAGACCCTTTTTAAGATAGAGATTCCAAATCCTCCAATCCATTTGTCACATCTGCTATACATCAGTTTTTTTCTTTCCTGTCTCGATCCACTATACATAAAAACTCATCTTTCCAGTCCACTCAATATTGTAGAAGTTTTACTTTCTTTCCTTTCTCGATCCACTACACATAAAAACTCATCTTTCCAATCCACTCAATTTTGAACAAGTTTTTCTCTGCTTTACTTGTTTTATGCCGAATCAGCTATCATTTTCGTTACAGCGGTTATGCTGCTAAATAACACTTATACATTAAACATGCATTTGATCTATGAAATAGGTGTTTGTATACATTTTTATAAAAAATATATGTTTGTATAATTTTTTTTTATAAAAATGTGTTTGTATATTGATGCATTTATTATAAAATACGTGTTTGTGTTTCATTTATTTTATAAAAAAAGTTTTATATTTATTTATGTACTTAATAAATACATATTTTTATAATTAAGTATTTTGCATACAAAAGTGTTTAAAAAATTATATAGAAAAAATAAGGTTTTTTTATATTAAAATATGTTTTTTTTTGTATAAATATGATTTTATAGAGCAAAAAACATATTCAAGACAAAATTTTGAAAAAAAAAACTAAATTTATGATGAATTCGTAACAACATTTTGAAATCTGAGCCAAAAGTGTAAAATTTAGACCAAAATTGTAGTAAAATTTAGAATCTAAATCAAAAATATAACTTTTTAAAGTTGGATGACCTATTTACCAGATAAAAATGTCAAAATGAATACAATTTTCGGTTTTTTAGGACTTAATTGACTAAAAAAAATAAGAACTAAATCAATTATTATGCCTAGTAGCTTTTTCTCTTATTCAAATAACAAAGAAAAAAAATGTAATCACTAAAACATATAGCAAAGATTTTGGAGGGGATCTAAATATAGACCCTTTTTAGGACGGAGATTCCAAATCCTCTAATCCATTTGTCACATCTGATTTACATCAGTTTTTTTCTTTCTTTTTCTCGATCCACTACACATAAAAACTCATCTTTCCAACCCAGTCAATTTTGTATAAATTTTACTTTCTTTCCTTTCTCGATCCACTACACATAAAAACTTATCTTTCCAACCAACTCAATTTTGTACAAGTTTTTCTCTGCTTTACTTGTTTTATGCCGAATCAACTATCATTTTCGTTATAGTGGTTATGATGCTAAATAACACTTATATATTAAACATACAGTTAACCTATGAAATAAGTGTTTGTATACATTTTTATAAAAAAATACATAAAAACTTATACAAGCTTTTCTCTGCTTTACTTGTTTTATGCCAAATCAACTATCATTTTCATTTTCGTTACGGTGGTTATGCTGCTAAATAACACTACACATAAAAGCTTTCTTTCCTTTCTCGATCCACTACACATAAAAACTTATCTTTCCAACCCACACAATTTTATACAAATTTTTTTTTTAGAGATAGAGAGAGAGATCCTCAACTCACAATTGGCTTCTTCTGTCGGTACCTAGTCTTCTAAGAGTCAAGGTACCGACGGTACCTCCCCAACGCACTCCTCGATAGCATGCACCCTTAGGCCTTAACAGCTAATTTGTTACTAGTTTGTTACGGAGATAAGAGTACATAACAACTTTGGTACATATTATAGAAAGGAAATAGATCTTAATGAAACTAAAATTCTTGTAATAAATCTCAATCTATAATTTACAATGCTTAATATAAATATAGTTTATGAAAAAAAAAAAAAAATCACACCAAAATCACTAAGACGAGTGACAAATAACAGCCTTACAATTACACTCACCATCTATAATCCACAACCCAAAACTTTCAAGTCTATTTCTAACCAAATCCAACCCCAAATCAGAATTCCAAAACACAACCTTCGTCTCATTCTTCATCAAACTTCCTCCATCATTTACTTCAACCCCCTCATCATTTACCCTTTCCAACTTTACACCCTTCCCCTCCAACAACTTCCCTACCAAAATCCCAAAACTACCCTCACCACCCATCCCTGCAATCTCATCCACAAACCGATCCGTCCAAATCCCGGATCCCGAACTTCTCGCAAACAAAATCCCAAATCTCTCCCCGACATAAAAGTCAACAGTCAAACCGAGTTTCAAAAAGTCAAAAAACAACTCCGGTTTGACCGGAATCATATCGTGATCCAACACCCACGTGTCATAATTCATTTCCAACGCCTTTTTAACCACATACGCCATTACAAAAACTTCATTTTTTACTTTACTCAATTTTAATTTCTTGAAATCATCCAAAAAACGATCCACATTTATCACGGGATGCCCGCGTCTCGCAAGATCAAACAAAAAATCCGATGCGGGACCCACTAATACATAGTTCCGAACATTCAACCTCTCAAAGTGACACAACATGTTTTTGATGAACATTTTTGATGTGCGATGAATGTTCACAAGTATAAGAGTGTTTGATTTTTGTGTTGATTTTAAAATGGGATCGAGGTCATGGACATTGTTTATGATTCTATTGGGGGAGACTTCTTGGAAACAGAAATCGTACCATTTGAGATTTCTCAAAGGGGCAAATTTGGAAATTTGGGAAGTTTCTTTGAGGAGATTGGAATCGGGGCCCGCGGTTTTCCCGTAGTTGACACCAGCGTCTCTATGAGAGACACTGAGAGCGGATTCATGTGGGAAATTAGTGTAGATGTTGAAATAGGTTCGGGAGTGGATGAATTTGATGAACCATGGTGTCCATATTTTGTCCCCCAGTTTTTTATACCACCCTGTTGTTACCTGTAAATTTATTAAAATGAAACTTAATGAGATAAAGAACGATTGGATTTGAATCTGAAGGAATCATAATCTGTTATGCATTTGGATGATAAATTATGGAATGGAATTTATACTTTAGAGTAAGTTACATTTTTGGTCATTGAGTAGCTAATTTTTGCAAGTTGAATATCAAAAAGTTTTCTTTTGTTATTTTGGTCTTTATTTTGAGGTTCTTATGGCGTTTTTGATCCATGTTTCAAGAAAAATGACTATACTCAGGGACCAAACATGTAATTAATGAAATGGAATCTTTAATTCTGTCCATTTGGCAAGCAAAAAAGCAATGGAATGGAATCTTTAATTCCGTCAGAATCCAGAATCAAAACATGGCCTCCACTTCTATTATGGAAAAAAGAGCAAAAAGGACAAACTACATTACCATTCCATCAAGAATTGGCTTGATGCCCTTGGTCTTGTGTATGTCATACCATAAACGAAACTCCTTCCAGGGTTTTGGAAATAGAAGCTGGCCCCACGTACCAACTAGCTGATATAAGAACACTTGTGTATCTTCATCTAGATGTATTTTGTTCCCATGCTTACCTGGCATCATAATCTGATTAATTTGGTAAGCTATATATGGCTTCCTCTTTTTTACTTAATACATAAAGAAAGACTTAGAAGATGCGTGCAGAAACCTATTACTTTACACACTATAATCGTTTCAGATTCTGCTACAAATTTGATAGCACCACTTATACCTTTAGCATATAGCATAGAAGTTAACGTGTTTTGAAAGCTGTAAGCAGAAATTTTAACAAGTGTTAACAATTTGAAGTAGAAAATAAGTCCACTTATGATCAAAATCTGAACAGAATCTTTTTTTCTAAAAGACATTGGTTCATTCAATTCTATCTATACAAATTTCAGGTACAGATTCTGAGATTATCAGCGTTTGGAGAGCAGGGAATACCCCAAATTTATAGAATCTCCAAGATGAAAACTCTATGAGAGTATGGTAATCTGATTTATGCTAAAAGTATTTAGCTTGTTCTAATGTATCTGATAAACTGCTTATGTTTGTTGGGGTATTAATTGAATAAATTCCAGAACTTAGAGTTTTTGTGATATTTCTAGAAGATCCAGATATATAGAACATAGGATGCAGATGATACCTGGAACAAATCTTGGGCGTTGTAAAGAAGCTCCATATATCCATGGACTATAATTTGAAGCATTGTAGTAATAATTAACAATCAAACCCCTAAGAAATCTGTAATACAATGGTGACAATTCGATATCATCTTCAACCACAAATGCAAACTCATCATCAGAAGCAGGCCACCATGCTTCTAACCACTGTGCCTGCAGCCCAACGTTCCCAGTCCTGTAATGCACCATCTTCTCCCCAAATCTCCACTCAAATCCATCAACAAAATCCAGAATCTGACTAGATTCGTTCAGTTTCTGATCCAAATACTCATCCTTTTGATCCAAAACCTTGAAGTGATCGATGAAAATATGAATATTCACATTGTCGTTATCGTAACGAGCATCAGCAAGGGATCGTAAGCAGCGGGTGAGTGACGGAAGTCGATCGTAAGTGAGAACTTTGATAGTGAGAGAAAAATTGGGCGATGTTTGTATATTAGGGTTTTGGAGTATGTTCAAATTTGTGTTCGTAAGTGGGAATTGGGTCATGGGAGGAGATGAGGGGAGAGGAAGGGAGGAATAACGGTGGAGAGAGAAAATGAAGAGAGCTGAGAGAGAGACGATGAGGACGAGAGGGTAAAACCCTCTCTTTGGTGCCATATTCAGATTTAAAACTTCATTTAGGATGGCAGAACGGCTCATAATCGATTCATCAACAAGAAGTCGACATTACTTGAACAAAAATCGATTTAATATTGAATCATTGATCGACCAATTGATGCAAGCATCAATGAGTTTCTAGTGATTTCAACAATGGAAGTTCAGTTTTTGAATCTTACAGAGTCTTCTTCTCTTTCAGTTCTTCCTGCTTCCCCACTTCCCCCAAATCTGGTTATGAAATGAGTTTCAACTTTTGTTTACCTCTTGTCCTCCTTTTCTTAGAATGTCACATTTATAGTCCATATACTTTTTTATCACTTCATATTTTGTCCCTGACTAACATTGGACCACCATCTATACTATCGTATGATCCTACCATTAATTTTGACAACTATGATTTAGATGTTGCCAATCCCTTTTTGGACCATGGTTTTAGTTATTGGAAATTTGATCTATTTATTTATTCAAATTGTCATTTATAGAAAACTTCTTATATTTCGTAAGTTTTTTACGGTTTTGGCAAAATTTGTTTTTTTTTTATCGGTTCAATCCTATACTTTTGCGAGACTTGCCAATTTAGGTTGTTACATAGTTTTCTTCGCCTCAAAGCTAAATGGGTAGGAGACTTTTTGTTCCTATATATCCTCCTACCAAATGAAATTGTGACATGTGTAACATTTAATGCTCATTTAATGAGATTTAATGATATTTTAGGATACTAATATGACACATGACATCATTTAAATGGGTAGGAGGATTGATAGGATCAATAGGTAGGATGATATTTAATTTCTCATCCAAAAAAGATGAAAAAATCACAATTACATTTGAACTTCTGACCATGACTATCAAAAAGTAAACTTTTTACCATTGAACCAATCCAAATCAATAGCTAAATTTTGATATCTACACTCATATAGATATATACCACTCAATTTTATAATTACTTCAAAGTTTTTTATAAATATATGTTTGGTTAAATATGTATAGATATATTTTATAAGCACTTTTATACAAGAAACATATTTATATGTATTTATATAAACATATATTTATAACAAAAATCAAAACATATTTATATTTAACAATACACACTTATACTTATAAAATGTATAAGTAATCTTTTATGTAAAAAAATACTTAAAAAACATATTTTTACAAATAAGCACTTATAAATACACTTTTATATAAGTATAAGCATAATTGTTTATACAAAATGCATCAAATTGATACAAACAGGCACTCATGAAAATATATAAAAATATGTCATGAAATGATGACATTTTTATAATTATGTGCGAGATTTTAATATTTTCCGGCAAAGGTTAATTATTTGAAGGTTAAAAAAAATCATCCCCAAGCATGCATACTCCACCCTCTCCCACCCCCACCTCTCATCGTCTTCTTTTCTCTCCCTACCACATATCAAGCCCTCATTTGGTAAGTTTTTTCCACCGATTTCATTTTTTGGTCATAATTTTTTTTTTTTGAAAAATAAAAGACAAAACTGCAAAATGGTCCTTGTGGTTTGTCAATTTCTTTAAGTAAGGTCCAAAAAAAAGTCTATTAGCAAAAAAGGTCCCTATTTGGTGGTTTTATTGTGGTTTTGGTCCATACATCGTTAAGTAACAGCTTGACAGTCAAGTTTTTGAAAATGACGGATTTACCTCTAGGGACCATTTCGACAGTTTTATCTTTCTACCAAACCACAAGGACCATTTCTATAATTTTTCTTTTTCATTTTATTGAATTATTGGACATTAACTCTTTTAATTAATTATTTTTTAATTTCTTTCTTATTAGATTATTATATATTAATAAATATTATTTTTAATATATTATAGTTATATATTAATAAATATTATTTTGTTATATTATTAATTTTTTTAATTAATTCTTTTTCAATTTCTTCTTTATTGGATTAATTCTTTTTCATTGGATTATTATATATTAATAAATATAAATTTTATTATATTAGATTTATATCTTAACAACTATTATTTTATTATATTATTAATTTTTGTAATTATATTTTTTTTAATTTCTTCTTTATTGGATTAATTCTTTTTATTGGATTGTTATATATTAATAAATATTTTTTACCATATAATATTGTTCTATTAATAAATATTTATTTATTGTATTATTAATTTTTTTTAATTTTTTTTATTACGTTAATTCTTTTTATTGGATTATTATCTTTAATTTATTATTTTTATATATAATAAATATCATTTTAATTGATTAATAATTTATAATGTATAATATTATATCTTTTTAATTTTATTGGTTCCACCAAAAAGTCATCAGAATACGCAAAAGTGTCCCGTCCCATCGGCGGGACAACCGCCAATCACCTTCATCGATTGTTCGACAGAAACACCACCAACTTGTTACACCCAATGCCGCCAATAGCCACTTAAGACAATCTCATCACAATCTGTCGGAATCCTCTATATCTGTTACTAAGCCGGCCATATTCTGCTACAACCACCAGGAGGTCTGATCCAAACACTCATTGTCAGCTACTCCATTCGTTGCCTTCTACCGCATTGTGTCGTCGTATCATCTCACTCTACAATTGGCCATTCTCGATGAAAACTACATTGGTCGACTACCCACACAATGCCTAATAAACCCCAAAAAATATACAACCTCTAGCCGATCATTCATTACCGATACCACTATCAATTGCGACAATGTTAGATCGAGAGTTTTCAAACCACCATAGCCACTACAGGTGGTGGAAATGTTGTAGAATAAAATTAACACGATGACTGAGTGATGATGGTGGTGGTGACTGAGTGATGGTGGTGGTGTTGTCCAAAATATGTTATCTTCCAAATATTTAAAATAAATTAGGAGAGGTGGGGGTTGGTGAGAGTTTTTGGTATTTTTATTTAAAACAATAAAGAAAGCAATTAAAAGAAAATAAAAACAACTATAAAATAATATTTATTATAAATAAAAATAATAATTTAAAGTAATAATCCAATATAAAGAATTAACGCAATAAAAAAATTAAAAAAATTAAATAAATGAAATTAATAATCCAATCTAGTACTACTTACTAATAGATAAATATTATATGTTAAAAATAATATTCATTAATATATAATAATTCAATAAAAAATAATTAATCCAATAAAAAAGAATGTAAAAAAAATTAATATTCAAATAAAGTAATATTTATATATATATATATATATATATATATATATATATATATATATATATATAATACACTAGAAATAATATTTATTAATATATAATAATCTAATAAAAAAATAATACAATAAGAAAGAAGTTAAAAAATAATTAATTAAAAGAATTCAATAAAATGAAAAAGAAAATTTGCATAATTGGTCACTGTAGTTTGGTAAAAAAAGATAAAACTGCAGAAATGGTCACTAGGGGTAAATCCGTCATTTGCCAAAAGTTAACAGTCATGTTGTTAAACTTAACGAGGTAGGGACCAAAACCACAACAAAACCACCAAATAGTGACCTTTTTTGCTAATAAACTTTTTTTAGACCTTACCCAAGGAAATTGACTAACCACAGGGACCATTTTTGCAATTTTGTCAAAGAAATCTAAAAAAAACAAAGTTTTAAAATTTTAATTTTCTACAAAATGAGCACAATAACATTTCGTTTGAAAAAAAAATTATTTTTTTATATAAAAGGCCTATTTCATTTTTTGGCCATAATTTTTTTTTTTGAAAAAAATCTAAACAAACAGAAGTTCTTAAAATTGAATTCTCTTCAAAATGAGCACACTCATGAAATTTTGAAAAAAAAAACTTTATTTTTTGTTTCTTATAAAAAAACTGAGAAAAAAATTCTCCAAAAATCATAAAAATTTAAGGTGTAACATTCCAAAATTCAAGGCCAAAAATTTCATTTTTAGATAAGTTATTACAAAACCAACAGTATAAGAAACATCCATAATATCATGTCATGTCAAAAACAAAGTAGAAGTAATCAAAACATGTTATCATAAAACAATATCAGAGTGTAATCCCAAAGATCTCATGTGCGGAAAACCATAGTGTGATGCGCTGCGATCGAGCCGGCTCATTTCCTTTGAAAACAAAGCACCTGAAACCAAAACTGTAAACCGTAAGCACGAAGCTTAGTGAGTTCCCCCATCATACTACATACCACATAATACCATCGGTATCTTTCAACCGGTAACTGCCTTCGGTATCTTTCAATCGGTATCCGACATCGGTATCTTTCAACCGGTAACTGCCTTCGGTATCTTTCAACCGGTATCCGACATCGGTATCTTTCAACCGGTATCCGCCATCGGTATCTTTCAACCGGTAACTGGGGACTATTTCACCCCTACCACTATCATATAATAACAGGATATAATCATACAGTCAGGCATATCTGGGGTACTGACCTACCCTTCGATCCTAACGACCGAGTCGGGGAAGAACTATTCCCTGCTACTACCACTGACACGCATAGCATATCACATAAGCATATCTCATAAGCATATCTCATAAGCATATTTCATAAGCATATCACATAAGCATATCACATAAGCATACCAAGATAATTATCACAAAGACAATTATCTACCAACTACCCCCTGTTGGTGGGCCGACATTGTGGCCTTAGACCCACCCCTACTGGAAGGTAACTCACCTCGCACTGCTGAAGTCCCGAAGACTCAACCTTACACTGCTTACGTCCCGCTGACTCAACCCCAGCTGCTTGATGACAGATTCCCGGTCTGTCAATATCAAAACATTACCCAATTAATAATTGGGTTCCACTACATAACCATAAGTACATGCTTTGGGGTAATTACTACATTACCCATAGCTTGGCTTATTCAAGCCCAAGGCCCAATTCATAGGCCCAAAGTCAACTAGGACTCAAATCCTAACATATGGCCCAATTTTCCAAATTGGGCCCAAACCCTTACAAGGTCTTACCATAAGGCCCAACCATTTAGTCCAGTCTAACATTCAACATTCTAATGGCCCAATATCACATAATCATAAAGACCCAAACTATGGCCCATCTATGGCCCAATTTTCCAAATTGGGCCCAACTCCTCATATGGGCCTTACCACAAAGCCCATTAATTATTCTAGTCCATTTGCTTGATCTTGGATGGCCCATTAATAACCTAATCATCAAGGCCCAATAGAAAGGCCCAACAATAAACCCAAGTGAAATTAGGGTCTCATGTAAAATGACGATTAGGGTTAAG